GGGGGGGGTAGGATTTGAAATTTTAACCCTACAAAATCAGCTTGTAAAATAAGGGTTGTTTTCCACTTATATTCCAATAACCCTCTCATGGCCACTACTATTGAGTTTGCATGTGGATAAATGTATCTAGGATAAGCTCTAATATCATCTTAGAATGTGAGATGGAGTTCAACTCAATCTTAAAAAATCGATTTTTAAGATGAAAATTACCACCACTTGTATATTTTATTTTGGTCTAACGAGTAGTCAATGTGGGGGACCTCCAAGACACCCCCTTCTACCGAAGACTAGACATCTTGAGCATGAACTCAACATTTGGGGGGAGGAAGATTTGAAATTTTAACCCTACAAAATCAGCTTGTAAGATGAAGTTTGTTATCCACTTATATTTCAATACACCCTCTCATGGCCACTACTATTGAGTTTGCACATGGATAAATGTATCTAGGATAAACTCTAATATCATCTTAGAATGTGAGATGGAGTTCAACTCAATCTTACAAATCGATTTTTAAGATGAAAATTACCACCACTTATATATAATATTTTGGTCCAACGAGTAGTCAATGTGGGGGGATCTCCAACACACCCTTTCGTACCGAAGACAAGACATCTTGAGTATGAACTCAACATTTGTGGATGGTCCGATAATGACCCGATAACATGTGACCTAATAGGTCTAACAACTATTGCGAGGATAGGCTTTAATAACAACTTAAGAATATGAATTTGGATTTAACTCAACTTTACAAAATTGACTTTATACACTATTTTGGTCATCTCACTAATCGAAGTAAGATCTTCAATATACTTTCTCATGCCAAGGACTGAACATCTTGGGTGCGAAGTTTGCAATTCTAGACATCCACGAGTGGTCTGACAGTAGCCCAATAGCGGATAACAAGATAGGCTCAACAACAATTGCTAGGATAGAGTCTAATGCAATATTAAGAAAGTAAATTTGAATCTAACTCAACCTTACAAACACAAACTAAACACCCTATTAGATTGCTATGGATTCCCCCATGAACCCCGTATATGCAACATCTTTGAAATGATGAGACACCCCATTAGAAAAACGTATTCCCTCAAACCTCTAGAAAGAACATGGCAGCTGACCATACTTTCTTCATAGCTTGAAGCTAATCCCACAAAATTTGTAGAGGATATTGAGTTTGCATGAGATAGTGAGATATGTGACAAAAATTGATACACCTTGTAATTTTACAATATTGTTACAACATAACAAGGTGCCATGTCTCAGTTACAAAGTGCATTATAGGAGATATAAGGACAGTTGAAAGGACAGCTAACCATAAATCTAACAGAGAAAGAAAGCAGAATTTAATAGGCATCCAGAAGCATTAAACTGCAATAAAGTAAGCATATGAAACAGAAAATTTGCATAAAACAAAGAATCTAAAATGTTAGTAAGAAGTCTCCGAAGGGACAACTTCTTAGATTCATCTTTGCCAGAATAATTAAGTACATAAGAACAAAATGACTACATGGTTCCAAAATCAAAGCAAGAAAAAATTAAGTGGGATTAAAGCATCATAGACTTATCATAGCTCCAATAACATGCCAGATTCCAGTTATTTTGAACATTAACAAATATTACACAACTACAGATTCAAGAAATACAAAATAATCAAATCCTTTATTATCCTTTCCTTTTCGTAGGGAGAAAAGTGGAAGGGCATTTCTTTCCACACCATTCAGGATATCATGCCACGAAAAGATTGAGTTTCCATGTGTCATTAACTACCACGCCAAGTCTCTAACATATAACCACAGTAAATATAGAACTTACCCCAAATGAAGATACAGGGATGCCCTCTTGAGCACCTAACAAGTGTGCTTGTCTTCGTTTCAACCACTGAAGACAATTAAACAAACCAAAGTGAAAACAAAAGAGAAGTACATACAAGAAATAATGAAGGAGACTACTATTTTTCTGCAGACATGTGCAGTTGATAGGTCGACCATAAACAAGAAAAGCATCACATGCAGAAAAGAAAAAAGTTTTGTAGCATGGAAAATGAGAATAAGTCATAGAAACACCCACAGCACCACTAACCTTCCCCATTGCCATGCAAGCAATACAAAGGAGTCCACAGTAGCTAAAAACTAACCAGATAAGGAAGCCCCATTTCTGCCCCCCTCCAGGCAACTGTACACAATTTTTGGAGTAAGCATCATAAACTTGTTTACAAAGTCAAAAGTACCATTGAGAATGAAAAAAAGTAAAACGCACGCAGACTTTAGTGTTGCTGAACCACAGGCTACCAATTATTGTCCAGGCCCAAAGAAATGGATAGAGAAGTAATGCAAGGATTGAAAGTACAACTACTCTTCCACAGAAACGAGCATATCTCTGTGGCCACCCAAAATCTCTAGAAACATAGAAAACGAGTGGAAAATAGAAACAACTGAATCAGTAATGGGATTAGAAAAATTACTAAATTACCAGAACCATTTCGAGAAGTTTTATTTAATGAAACCAAAGAAGTCAGTTGAGTACTTGAGTTGAGACATGAATGATCTTGAACTTGGGTATTGACACTTGGCAGTTAAGTAAAATTCAGAGAAATGATACTCAGGAAACTTAGTATTCCCGAATTTTAAATATAAACGATAAGTTTTCATAAATCCCTGGTGAGATCAGAGGACTATACTTTCAAGAAATTCTCCTGTCGACTTCCACAGTACAGTTTTAAACTAAGTCAGGCCACAAGTGCTGCCTAATGTAATTCAAGCAAATAACTATACTGCCTCTAACAACCTTTCACTCGAATAATAAGTGATATCCTTATTAAACAGACATATTAATATCATGTAGATTTATACCAATGCCATTCAGCGTGAACAAGAATCTTAATTAAAACATGAAAATAATGAAATATGATGACTCGTAGATCACCAATTAATCGCAATCTAATTTCATCCGGGCTTCCGGTATTAACGCACACATCTCCATTCAATTTGGAAGAAATCCAAAAAAACAATAACCTCCAAAGTTAAAAGATTGGAATGTCTTACAAACCCATTCCCGAAGCAAGCCCGTTATCAACAAACATCAAAAGCCGGAAAGTGAAAACAGTAGCGTAGTCAACCTGAACAATCGAAACCATAATAATAAAAATAAAAAATAAAGCATAATTTTTTAGTCAAACCTTCTATCTTATCAAGAAAAGAAAACTAGTAATCAAAAAAATTAAACAAAGCTAAAATCAGGAACCCACCACAATCCATATGTGCAAAGGGTATCTACAAGATTGGTAACGCTTCCAATTAATTGCAACAATAGCTCTATTAAGTCAAAATGGTCAAAGAAAACACATTCACAATCCATATGCTGACTTCAATGTTATAATCAATTACAGAAATGAAAAAAAAAATTTCCTCATGGAAATTAAGAATTTAGAAGAATCAAAGGAAAACTAGGAGAATCCAATAAAAGGGGGGTTTTGAAGGATACATGCTGGCGGCAAGCATGGACAAGAAAAAGCCATCGAACCTGCGAGCAGCGTGATGTGCATGTGAAATTGGGGTAAAATTGGAAGGATTGAAGAAAGAAAGATTGAGACGAACCATTTGAAATTGACGCCTCTGATGGCCATGGGGGTGATGGGTAAACCCTAAAACGAAGCGATGTCGTATCCAGCGATCGCGGTTATGTGACAGTGGACAATGCATGGGTGTGACAGAGAGCAATTGGAGTGGGGTGTTTCGTGAAACATTGAAACAAGAACATCGAAGATCAGAGAGAAAGTGTGCAGTGAGGAGATCTTAACTGAACTGTGTTCAGTGTCAGGTCAGAAATAGGTATAATTATTCCCCAGAGATTAGATTTCTACATTTTATCATGTAATAAAGGAGAGATTATTATTTTTGTTGTTAATGGATCACTCATCAATACCAAGATTTGAACATAAAATCTAATTCATATCATTTTGACTCTATTATTAAACTAATTTTTTCGTTTTTCAAAAGTTTTTGACTAGTTATAATTTTACATAACTTTTTGGTTGTGTTTCTAATTCTTACAAGAACTTGGAATGTGAATACTTTGTTTGAAGTTATCATCTATTGGCTCAATCCAACGAGAAAAATTTGAGGGTTATTACATTACATGATGTTGTACTTTGTCTATCATTAATATCTACTACCTTTTAATGAAACAACTTATAATTTAGCCAAACAATTTAAACACTTAATGGAAAGCCCTTTGTGCAAATCTATTAGAGATTACCAAATATTTGGAATGTTCCATTATTAATATAAAAAAATGTTCATTTTTATGAGTTATATTTTTTATATTTCAAAATTAATAAATTTACATATTTATATATTGATATTAATGTATAGAAGGAAAACTCAAATTTGTTCAAGTAAAAGAAAAATCACTAATAATAGTTTTATATATTATTTAAAGATGATACTTAGAGAAATTTTTTACAAACACTTTGAAACATAGTTTTAAGAATTGACTCATATTGATCGATCGAGCAAATTCAACTAAAAATCAATGAATCTACTATTTCAAACATTATATCTGATTAAATATGTCATCAACTCAATAATAACTAGTATGATCTGGCCAATTTTATGGGCGAACCGCTAAATTGATGAGTTACAAGTTAAATCAGTCTCATCACTTTATGTTACTAAAGTTGTCACATAAAGCTACACACATTGATATACTCAACAAAAAAAGTACTAGTAAAAGGTTTTTAGCATGATCTAAACACAATCCACAGTCATTTGAGGAGAAATGCCTTACCATTTGAATCATACATTTTAATATGTTGTTATTTTTTAAATATATGATATTTATATAATATTGAATCTATTTTATTTGACACCATTTAACTCTTTAATAATCACTAAACTAACTATAATTTAGTTGTTCTGTCGATATTAAATTAAATACAATTTTTTTGAAAGTTTTTTTTAAGGTATAGTATGAATTTTATTAAAATTAATAGTCATGATATGAATACTTTTTTTAAAAAAAAAATCAATGGAGACCAAGTCATGTAATTTAATGAGTGACTCATCAATTCGACCTATAATCCACTAACTCAATACTCTAATTGATTCGATGATCGATCCTATTTTTAAAATATTGCTTTGAAATATATAAACATTCTAAAGGATTTTAATAATTATGATTATTTTTAATTATATAATAAATATTTGCAAAATTATTTTGTATAATATTTATTGACAAATATATGTTTTTGATATTTTGATATATATATATATATATATATATATTTGTTGGAGAAGTATGATTTAAGTTATAAGACTTTATATATGTTGTTTTATGTATTATTTTATTTTATATTTGTTTTAATTAAAAGAAAAGGGAGTTAAGTTTTTAAAAGAAAGGTTTTAAGAAGGGGTAGTCAATGTACGTTTTACACTATCAGTATTTTCTTTAAGTTTTTGTGCTTTAAAGGTTGGGAGAACTAAAGATCATTGAAGATCACCCAGAGATTTACACCCTATTCATCAAGGTAAGGGGAAGTGAATAATCTCGCTCTAAGCATGAGATATATGTTGGATAGTGAAATTAACCTCCAATATCTATCTTTCTTGTATGTGTTGTATGAGGGAGCAATTCCTATTTATAATCTTAACTTGTGTTTTTGTATTCTATGTCATTCTTTGGTATTTTAGTTGATGTTATTGATTGGTATGTATGTTTAATTGTATGTAATTACTAATCTTTTGAATCTTGGATTGACCATGGGTTCATGTGGGAACCCTAAGGAATGAATGAGTTGAGTTAATAATAAATAATTAAGATGCGTATGAAAGAATATGTAATTGGTGGTTTAATTGTATAAATTTAGGCTTTAATTGTGAATTTAGAATAAGAGTTTAGAGGTGAAACTCATTCTTCAAACAAATTTTTGAATGGTTTTGGAGCTCTATTTTGATAGCACAACCATGCTTATTGTGAAGCATGTTCATGCTTAAATAAGCACACCCGTGCTAAATTTATGTATGCCTATGCACCCTTTAAAAGTTTTAATTGGCTTTTGTGGTCTTCATGTTGTATAACTAGGTGTTAGCTTTCAAATGCCTTGAGATCACCTAAAAAGGAAGTCTAGAACTTGAGTTATGGTCAAATCAATGGGTGGAAGTCAAGTTGTTAAATTTAGGTTGAAACTTGTATTTTTGTAATTTTTAAAAAATATGGAAGAATCAACTCTTAAGGTCAACATAGAAGTTTTAAATAATTGTCTTAACTTTCTAAAAAAATTAAGATCAACTTGATAGCTTGTATATAGCTCTAGATATCATATATGGGCCATACGAGGTCATACAAGATTAAGTTATAGAAATGCAATTTGCAATGGTGATTGTGAATGGCTTTGTCCGGTAAGTGTTTGATCTTATGAATGGTTTGAAGTACCAATATCAATATTTAGGAAAGATAAATAATGAGAGAGAATAATTATGAATAAGTTATGATGGAAGTTAATTGTTAATGACTTGAGGTGTTTTGGAATAACAATACCTAAGAAATTAATGTTTGATATAAAAAAGATTGATAGACTAGTTAAGTTATTAATTTAAATGCTTAGTTTGATGTTGATCTCTTAGGTACTATGGTTGAGGCATTAACATATGATTGGGTGATTTTATAATGATTCTATCTTGAAGTGTATCATATAATGTTGTGTAATTGTTGTGTTTGAACTAAGAACATGTGACTATTGTGAGATACAATGTGTTGAGTTTTTGTGTGGACCATGTGATGATCACATGATGTAAAGTATAAGTTGAGGCATAACAAGGATGAAGTCTGGGCATGTTGGCCTAATAGTGATATGAGTAATACGTGTATATTATGTACATGTGATAATGTGACATGATATTGCATCAGGCCTTATGTGACATTCATGATATGCATAAGTATTTTGATGGGTATGATACATAATATGTTGTTAAGGAAGGGCCCTTCTTATGTAAAGCTTGGAGATTCATGACTTTGGGGACAATAGGGTTTGGGTTCCCTAGTTCTGTCTGTTTGTGTGCATGGGATAAAACTTACACGATATTGTTGTCCCAACGTACCCTGGTGTATCTCCTCTTAGTGTAGAGTGCGATGAAGGTGTGACCTGATATGTTCTCATAAGCTACCCTTTGTGTGCTTTCAAGCAAGAGGTAAATCGATGTGATTTTACTAGCACCACATTCATATGCACATTGAAGTCCATGTGCATTGCATTACGTATGTTAATGTGTAATTGTGTGATGAACCATATTGTGACTCCAGGGTTGAATATGCTACACTATCTTGTCATTGATATATATTATTGTTCTTATATCTTGTAATTGTGTGTTTGACTATCTGGTTATATTCTACGTTGTAAGATAGAGTGAAATGTTTCTCACTCCCTTTTTCCTTGTTGTGTCTTGTGCATGTTGTTGTAGTTGAGGGTCATCACGACGTTGATGATGTTGGAGAAGAGACCAAGACCTTGTGTTGAGTTTTATGCTCTGATAGAATATGACATCAGAGTATAGCTAGGATTTGAGATTATAATGTTTAGTTATGTTTAGGCATAATGTTAGACTTCATTTGATATTATTTATTTTTCATTAGACACACGTGTTGGAGTAAAGATAGCGTTATCAAATAACTATAAAAATTAATAGATTTTTCCTTAGATTTGTAATATAGGGAATAACTTAGATTTTTTTTCCTCAAAGACACAAGTCAATTAAATATGAATTTATCTAACAATTGTTAGAAGGGAATTTTTGAACAGAAAAACAATAATTTTAATTGTAAAATGTAAAACAAAAATTAATAAAAAAAATTGTATCAATTCAAGATTTCATTCCTTACGACGAAATTTTCACGATTTAAAATATAATATAAATTTAAGTAACATTAAATCAACACTAACATAATTAAAATGTAGATCTAAATATATATCTATTGGATTTCAAAAAAATGTGAAACACAATTGTGATCTCATAATTTTCGTGAAATTCAAGAATAATGAATGATTAATTTAGATTATTTTATATCTAGATCTAGATCCAAAAATAAACTTAAATCTCAATTCTAGATCGAATTAAAATGAAATTCATAATCATGAAAATAAAAATTAAATTTAGAATAGAGAAGAAGATGAAGAGAATTCGTATGGTAAAAATAGATCGAGAACTCAAATTTTACCGTAGTTCATGAAATCTTGAATTGATCGAATGAATAGCCATGCATCTCCATTGAGTATTTGTAGTTCATTTGTTTAAAAAATGTGGAGAGAAAATCTATGAGAGAGAAAGATAATTTTAGAGAAACTTGAAGAGGAAACAACTCTAAAATCTAAAAAATGAGAAGAAAAAATGTACATAACAAATCTCAAATACCTATTTAAAGACCAAATTAGTGGGTCTAATTAGAATATTTACAAGATTTGACCCATTAATCAACTAATTAACAAGGTTAAACTCCTAATACAATAACTTCTTAAAGAAAATCCAAAATAAAGTGTAGAGACATAACATTGTGGCACATTGTTTGACTCGAAGATGTCTAAAATGGGTGAAACGACCAATAGAGAAGTTATATAGCTCTATCTGTTTAGTTTTCCAAGGACATCAAGAGCGTCTTATTCTAATTTTGAAAACTCAAGGTATGACCTACACAAGACAACATGTCAAATTGGACAAAAATTACAAAAATTAACTAAAATTTAGAATTGAAATCAAAATAGTCTACTAAAACAAATGTCAATCAATTCATTAATTTAAAATACTTATAAATATCAAATAATTCATATTTTATACTAGAACATATATCAATTATGCATTATCAAGTAACACTTCTTCTAGTTGTTTTAG